CTCTCTTTCTCCTTCCCTTTCTTGCTCTCTCTCAAGGAGTTTTGACTTTTTTTTTTAAATCCAAGTTGGTTCATGTGCAGGCATTTGATTCCTCAATTAATTTCCATCTAAATGAGGTTTTCCCGGAGATAACCAGTGTTTTAGTTCCATTTGAACTTAATTTGTATGACCGGAGCCTCCGTTTCTGCCAATTCCAATTTGTTCAGTGATTCCAACACTCATTACTTGGGTGATAATACTCAGATGTAGACAACAACACCCCGGAGCTGCTAGATAGACTGATTTCTAATTGCAATTCAGGAGAAGAGGTGGGTCCTGCTCTTTTCTCCAATTTCCACTCCATAAATGGGAAATAAATTATTAAATAAGTCATGTTTTGATGAGGGTGAGTAGAGGGGGAGATAATTACAATGTAAAAAAACCTAACAATAACCACCCCCCCCAAATCATAAATAAATACATAAATAAATAATTTAAATAAAAAACCAGAAAGCTTAAAAAAAATCCCAATCCCAAACATACAAACAAAACCCAGCCACAGAGAGGCTCTCTGTGGAAGAAAGGAAGACATGTTTTAAGAAACGATTATTTTGATTTTGGTGTGTGTGTGTGCGCGTGCGCGCGCTGGGGTTTGAACTCATGGCCTCATGCTCTAGCTAGGCTTTTTGGTTTTTTGCTCAAAGCTGGTGCTTTACCACTTGAGCCACACCTCCTCCATGTATGGATATTTGGTGGTTAACAAATGAGAGTCTCACAGACTTTTCTGCCTAAGCTGGCCTTGAACCGCTGTCCGCAGACCTCAGCCTCCTGAGTAGCTAGGGTGACAGGCGTGAACCACCAGCACCCGGCTTGTTTCTGTTTCATAAACCAAATTGTTCTGCTGAGTTGGAGGGGCGGGCCAGGCTAGTGCCGTGCATATGAGACTTTTTGTGAAAAAGGAGAGCAGAACAGAGCAGGGCTGGGGGGTGAAAGCCTGCCTAGTGTGCATGATACTCTGGGTTTGAGCCCCAGTAGCACAAAAAAAAAGAAACAAAAACAATAATAATACCACAGAAGAGAGAAGCTGAGCTTGGAGAATGGGTCTGAGCAGGTGCAGAGGTGAGGAACAAGGGGGATCCCCACATGCCTTTCCAACTTCTTCTCGTGGTTCAACTTCTCTACCATACTGAGCTTCCTTTCAAGAAAAGAAAAAAGCAAGACAGGAATGAGGTTGGATCTTGATGAACTAAGTGGTCCCAGCTAGGGGCCTAGAGCCGGTCTGCTTTTCCTGATGCACTGAGGAGGGTTCAAATCTTACTTTTAGCTTTTATTCTCATGATGGAGAACCTCCTTTAAAACAACAACAACAACAACAAGAACAAACTTGTGTGCTCCTCACTCTTTTCATTTTCCTCCTGAGTCTCGGTGAGCCCCACTCTGTCTCTGGGGGCTCTTTCAAGCTTTGGGCCAATGACGTGGGTTATAATCTCACAAACTTGCTACTTATCAGAGGTGGGACTCCCACCCAGGGACTGGGAGCCATCTGCCCTGATTCCCTTGTCTCTTCCCATCTGGCTGACTGTGAGCTAACTCCTCACGACGAACAGCTTTCAAGTGACCTGGAATGGTGGGTGGTACCTGTGCTGGAAGCTTCTAGGCTAATCAAGATTGTTAGTTTCTCAAGGAGAGTTCTATCTATGGGTAGAGCAAAGGTGAAGAAAATAAGAGAAATGAAGGGAGAGGTAGAGATAGGTAGAGCCTTATCTATCTATCTAGATAGATATAGAGAGATAGATAGGTAAAGAATTCCATCTGTGTTTTATTTTTCTAACTTCAGAAAGAGCTGTGTTCCTGGTGGGACAACAAGAGATCATAAGAAAAAAAGAAAGAAAGAAAAAGACAAAGGCCATTTGCTTTGGGTTAAGGGGGGGGGGCTCGGTCTCTCCCTGAATGGCTGGCACTACTTTACAACCTCTGTACAGTGTCTTTACAAGTGTGTGTGTGTGTGTGTGTGTGTGTGTGTGTGTGTGTGTGCACTGCAGACCAGGCGGGACCGTTTGCGAATCTCACAATTTGGGGAGAAATTTGTTACTGGGAGTGGAAATGTGTGACTCACACAAAGCCAGCTCAGAGAAGGAAGCAGGCGACACAAGTCTACACCCGCAGCAAGATGAATCCACGTGTCCTTTCTTCCCTGGGTTGATCCCTGCCTGCCTTGAACTGATGGCGTGGTGGCCCCCACCCCTCAACTCCAACAGCCAGCGGAGAACTCAGCCATTTCCACCCATCATGGCACCCCAAACACCGCCACCACTGGTGAGTACTGGACACAAGGGCCCCTCTATTAACTCTGGGCTTCACTGGTGAGCCTGTGGGCTCCTTCCTTCTTTCTGATGACCTCTGTGTGGGCAGAGAGCTGGGGCTCAGGCCTGAACCTCACAAGGGCCTGGCTGAGTGAGTCATGAGCTTTGAGACTCTCCAGGATGCTCCAGTGTTAGAGCTTTCAGGAAAAAGGCCCAAATCTCCTCTCTCTCTCTCTCTCTCATCTGGCCTCTTTAATCAGATCCTCAGAGACAGAAGGAAAACCAAACCAAAAAAAGAGACATTGCCCAAAATTATTTAGAACTTCCCCTCCCCTCCCTCCCATCAGCACGCAAGCGTGTGCACACACACACACACACACACATACACACATACAGAGTACAAATAAATAATTCAAATACTGCTGAGTGACAGGGCGAGAGAGGAAAAAAACCAACCCTGCATCACATATACATAAATAAATAAAATTATAAATTAAAAGATAAATAAGTCAAATAAATATGAAAACCCCAAAAAGTTTGCTAGGAGCTCCCGGGCAGGAACACACACACACACACACACACACACACACACACACATGACAAGGTTCCTCAAGGACGTGTGAATGAAGACAGTTTGCAAGGGTGTGCGCATGCATTCTGCAGCTGTCCTGCTCAGGAGGCCGATGCCGCTGAGAGCCTTTTTTCTCCAGGAGGGAGATGCATCCTGTTTGGGTTCTTGGGTGGGGCCCAGGGTTATTTACAGTTGCTGTACATGCCCGCCCAGAGGCTCTGCCCCTGCCATCCGGCCTCTGCTGTGGCACCGTGGGCATCCACTAGTCTTCAGTCTGAGCCTTTAGGGTGGCTGCGTGGCCGCTGGTCCTCAGGGCTGATGTGGCGGATGGGGAAGCCGGGGCCGGGGAAGAGCGCTGATCTCTAAGGAGAAGACTTTCCCAAATATTTTCCTTGGGGGTAGCAGTGATTTTGTGTGTGTGTGTGAAGTTCCATCTTTGGTCCCTCAGTCCTCCAGTGCCCCTGGTCTTACCACAGACTCGACACCCAACAGCCTCACTGGAAAGCGAGGCAGCTGGAGGGGGGGGGATGCCCAAGTTATTTTAAGGATTCTCTCCCTCGCCCGCTTGCCTCTGGGGCCGTGGGCAGATAAAGCAGCTGGTGTTGTCTGTATGTCAGAGGGCGGCTTGCCCTTGATGCCCCAAGCTGGGCAGAGTGGGGAGGGGAGGGAAGGGATGAAAAGAAATAAAAGTAGGTCTTTCCCAAGCGGACAAAGAGGGAGGCTAGTTTTATGCCCCTACCCCCACCCCAACTGAGCCACTGTGCCCCATTCTGGACAAACAAATCCTGAAAGGTAAGGAGCGTGGCTTAGGCTGAAGAGGGGGTGGGGTGGAGGAAGGGTGCCAGGCTGCCCTGGGTAGAATCCAGGGTGCAGCAGCCTGGGCAGTGGGGAAGGGGCGGGCGGGCGCCAACTGGAGGGCAAGGCTAGACTGACTGGCGCTGGGGGCTGGAAACTGGCCACTGGCACTGAGGAATTTCCAGCAGATGGTCCCGTGGAATTACGCTGGTGCCAGCTAGTGGGACGGAAGCAAATGTGGGGCTGTGGCTCAAGCCGTTCTGGCTGTTGTACTGTGTGTTCTTTCCTGTGGGGCTACAGGGCTCCCGTATACAGCCAGAAGGTTTTGTACCAACCGTGTGTGGAGAACCCGCTGAGACACAGGACAGAAGACCCTCATCCTTACGTGTTCATACATGCAGCCAGAGCTTCCTCCAGCCCAGTCCTATGTCAAAAGCTGCTGCCACCATCTTCTTCCTCCTCCTCCTCTTCCTCCTCCACTTCTTCTTCTTCTTCTTCTTCCTCTGCTCTGGTCTGTCAGAGGAAGACCTTTAACTCCAGACATTCCCTTCCCCCGCTTTTTTCTTTTTGGTTGATTGTGGACTTGAACTCAGGGCCTGGATGCTGTCCCTGAGCTGTTTTGTTCAAGGCTAGCGCTCTACCACTTTGAGCCACAGCACTACTTCCCATCTTTCGGTGGTTCATTGGAGATAAAAGTCTCACAGACTTTCTTACCCGGGGCTGGCTTTGAACTGCGGTTCTCAGATCTCAGCCTCCTGAGTAGCTAGGATGACAGGTGTGAGCCATCCACCGGCGCCCGGCTTTGGACCTTTTATCTTGGCACTGTCTTCCTGTCTCCAATCTCATCTCTTTCTGCTATCAGGTGAAACACACAATCCGGGAGATTGAGTGAAGGGAGAAGAAGGGCAGGTGGAATGAATTCCCTTGGCCTTCTGGAAACATCCCGAGAGTGGCTCTCATCCCTACATGTCCGCGGCCAAGCCCAAACTTTCCAGTCACAGAACCATTGCTCCCCATGAAACCATGAGGGGTGTGTGTGTGTGTGTGTGTGTGTGTGTGTGTATGCACACATGCGTGCCAAGAGAGAACGTCTCTATCTGCCCAGGCCTGACATGAGCCCCAAGATGGTGCTAGTAAATAAAGGCTCCAAGCAGCTTGACATCTTAGGGGGTGACCTCCCATCCCTCTATCCTCCCCCCCCACCCCAGAACTCCTGTTTCCTCCTCCCCAGAAAAAGCAGGCAGGACAGAGTCCTGTCACCAGGGAGAAGGCCGGGCAGGCAGGTAGTAGGGAAGGCTGGCAGGGCATAAAGGGTCCCCACCGGCAGCTGGGTCAAGGCAAGGCCCTTGCTTTTAGCGCCTTGTGCTAGAATAGCTGTCCGCTGAGCTGCGGCTGCGGCTGCGGCTGCGGCTGCGGGAGCCCAGGCTGGGGCTGCGGGAGCTGGAGCTGCTCCTGGTCCGGCTGCGGCTGCGGCTGCGGCTGGGACTCCGGCTGCGGGAGTAGCCGGGGCTGGCGGAGCGGCTGCTCCCGCTGCTGTACCAGGAGGAGGCGCTGCTGAGGCTGCTGGACGACGAGGGGCTGGGCCGGTAGTAAGGGATGGGGCGCTTCCGGGCACTGCAGAGACCACAGAGGAAGGATGCTGCGGTCAGGGCTGCTCTCCTCCCAGCCTCAACCCAGAGAAGCCTCTGCCTGGCCTGCCCCGGCCCCTTAAGGGTTAAAACGAGCCCAAAGCAAACAACAACACAATGACAAGTCCAGTACAAAGTCTCAGCTTGAGTACTGACCGGTCCTCCCTTCCTCCCTCCCTCCCTCCATGTTTTTCTCTTTGACAAAGGAAGCCCCCAGGGCTCAGAGAGCCTCCAGCTGGCAATACAATCTCCATCTAAACTTTTAATTGCGGGTTTGGGGGTTGCTATTTTTACTTTTACTAGAGCCTTCTATTTCCAGTATCTTCTAGCTTCTATTTCTAGGCAGAGGGGCTGGTTATTTATTTATTTTTGGACAGAGCATCAAGTTTCTTTTCAAATAAATGCAGGGGGCCTTTGTAAAGAGCATAACCATTTGAAGAAAATTATCTCAGCCGTCATAATCACTAGGGGGAAAATAAAGGCAGAAGTAGGATGGAAGAGAAGCATGGCTCATTAAAGTATTTGGGTGGGGGTGTGTGTGACTCCATCTCCAAGGATGGTATATGGTACCCTAGCGGTCCCTGGATTAAGGGGCTTGATGCATGACAGCCTAATTTGGGGGGGAAAGCATGAAGCCTTTCTCCCAGCTCTCAAAGCCTGAGAAATGGTTTTTGTTCAAACCATCAGCCCTCTCTGCTACAGCTTTTCTGAGGTCTTAACCTTAGTGCAGTTCGCATTTACATTTAGAGGAAGGGAGAGAGGAAGGGTGAGTGAATACAATTGTAATAGTGTACGCATGTAAAAATGGAACCAGGTAGCTTGAGGTTGGCAGAGATGGGGAAGAATGATGACAAGGTTGGTATTGATGGAGATGTATTGTACAGGACCCATAAACTGACAGGTTGAAAGGAGACCCTTTCGGGCTACTTACAGATAATAAAAAGTCATACAGCAAAAAGTGAGGACAAGCAATTAAAAAGAAGCGCATTTACATCTCTCTGCCCCTTTCCAGTTCTCCTTGACGATTACTCCTGGGATTTTACTTTTCCTTCCAGTATTTCATGCGTGAGAAAGCCGGCTCCGGAGGCCCCACAGCCAGGATGCCACGCCAAATCGTTTTCTCCCCTCTCCCCATCGTCTTCCTCTAAGTCCCTGCCGCACCTAAGCAAGCAATCCTGCTTTCCCTTCTCTGCACTTCGATCAATCACATGTAGATCGATGAAAACCTGTCATCTGAGCATGCAGGACTAGGCTGAACGTGACAACCATCAGGCCGACGTCCTGCCCAGTGGCCCTTGGCCTGTCTGCCTCCCGGGTCCCAGCTGGGCCCCCAGCCTCCAACTCCACCCCCATCCCTACACTGGCCCCGCCCATGGGCTCCTAGGCCCCACCCACAGACTCCAGACCCCGCCCGTGCACTTCTAGGTTCCACCCACATTTGAGCTCATGCGTTTAGGCATCCATATGCTTCTATACCCCACACACACACCCCAGCTCCCCCACCCACACCTAGGCCCCACCCACACGCTCCCAGGCCCCCTCTCACGTTCCTAGGCCCCGCCCATGCATGCATAGGCCCCGCCCACACGCTCCCAGGCCCCTCTCATGTTCCTAGGCCCCGCCCATGCACGCATAGGCCCCGCCCACACGCTCCCCTCACGCCCCTAGGCCCCACCTGCACGCTGCCAGGCCCCACCCACACGCTGCCAGGCCCCGCCCACACGCTGCCAGGCCCCACTCACGCCCCTAGGCCCTGCGCGCACACTGCCAGGCCCCGTCCACACGCGGCCAGGCCCCGCCCACACGCGGCCAGGCCCCGCCCACATGCTGCCAGGCCCCGCCCACTCAGTCTCAGTGTTCGGGAGGGGTGCCCCTGCGCTGCCCAGTCTCCAGGGCCCAGCTGGGACTTGGGGAGGGAAGGCTGGTCCCCTGGCCCCTGGCCTCACCTTGTAATCCTCCGAGCCTCCAGGTGGCTCGGGGAGTCTCTCCGGCGCTTCCTCATGGGCGAGTATGACCGGCGCCGCCGACATGCGCGCTCGCGCTCCCGGGGCTGCGAGTCCTTCTCGCCGTATTTGGGGTCCCGTTCCCTGAAGGGGTGCGAGGGCGAGGTTACTGGGGAGCCGGGCTGCGCTGGGGTGAGCACGCGGGAGTGAGGCGTCCACATCTCCTCACGCGGCCCCTCTGCCCCCCGGGGCCGGGAGGGCACCCGCGGGCGCTCCAGCTGGGCCCTGTGGTGTGAGGACGGACGGGGGCGGCCTTCCGGGGGGCCGCAGGGGTGAGGAGGCGAATGTCACCAGGGTCCTGGTGTGGGTAAGGACGGGGCTGGGGTGGTTGGAGCCTGGGGTTTGAGTTCTGGGGTGTGGACCCTAGGACGCCAGGGTAATATTTGGGCGTTATTGCCGTTTTTGATGGAGCAGGGAGGGGGAGAAAAGGCTCCTCATCCCCATCTTCAGCGCTGGAAGGAGGTACAGTGCCCAGGGTATGGGAGACTGGGCCTGAGAGGGGGAACTGAGCCAAAGGGGGTGGGGGTGGGGGTGAAGGGCCATCCAGGGGGCGGGGCCTACCTGCTCACATAGGACTGCCCTGGGGCGGAGCTGTTCCTGCTGGGGCGGAGCCAATCAGGGGGCGGGGCCTACCGGCTTTGGGGCGGTCCTGGGGGCGGGGCCGTTCCTGCTGGGGCGGGGCCTTCCCAGGGGCGGGGCCAGCCAGGGGCAGGCCCGTACCTGCTGGGGCGGGGCATCCCCGCCTTACCTGCCCGGGCTGTAGCGAGAGTAGCTGGGGCTACGTCGGGACCGGGACCGGGAACTTCTGCTGGGCGGGCTCCTCTTGCCGGATTTGGAAGAATAGCTGGGAGAGCGGGAGTAAGACCTGGGAAGAGGGAGCAGAGCCAGAAGAACCTGCTGAGCATGTGCTCTAGGGTCGCACCTCACATCTAGGGGTCTGTTCACCTGGTGCCCAGGTGGAGACCCGCTCAGGAATCAGACCCTGGGGTCGGTGTCCCCGTCCCCCTGCGTGGTCACAAACAGAAAGGAGTTAGGATTCACTCATTCACTTGCTGTCCCGGCTGTTTACTATTGTGTGATCTTGGATATACAGCTTAACGTCTCTGGGCTTCTTTTCTTCATTCATTCATTCATTTTTATATTTTTTTCATCTGTAACATGAGGGTAATAATAGTACTTGCCCTCTAAGGTTGTGTAAATCAAATGAGCAAATTAGGGTAAATCACTTAGCATGTTGACATATTTGCTAAGGGCTAATTAGCCAGCATGTGGCGAATGTTAACTGTGGCTAGTTTATTAAGTACCAGACATTGGACTAATGCTTCCTGTGCATTTCATCTCATCCTCAATGCATGCACCACCTAAGGGCTAGGTACTATTATCAATTCCCTCCAGTAGAAGGGGAACAGAGACACAGAGAACGGATACATGAAGTGGAACATTCCAGAAATAAACAGCCTTTTAAGTTTTAAGTTGTGTGTCACTCTGAGTAGCAAAGTGAGATTTCTTGCTGTCCTGCTGTTTCCTCCCCAGGCGAATGGTTTTGACCAGATCCACCATCCCCACACTTCAGGGCGTGTGTGTGTGTGTGTGTGTGTGTGTGTGTGTGTGTGTGTATCAAGGGTGAAAACAGCAGGGCTAGCAGTTCAGATTTGCCAAAGAGAAACTGTAGCATCCTTCCTATGCATGGGAAGATGTCAGTTCTTCAGCTAAAAGGAAAGCTGAGGTAGCTAAGGATCAATGGTCTGAGCAAACCTTCTCTCGGTGAAATTAAAGGAAGAAGGAAGTCAATGCTACTTTTGCTCAAACTGCAAAGTGCACAGCAGGCGATTGGCTAGGATGGAAATGGCAGTCATGACGGGGTTTAGTGTACCCTCTGGGATCATGGGGTGAAACTGCGGTGGACCAGGGGGAGGGGGAGGGTTACCCACTTACAAATGATTAATCCCTATGCCATGTGTGATCTTCCATCTCTGCCAGTGCCTCCCACCTTTACACAGGGCAGGAGTGAAGGAAGGGCTCATTTAATCCCAGTGCCCTGGACATGGGTCCAGCTGTGGCCTCTGGAAAAGAGGCAGTTGTGCATGGAGAAATATTATAAGAAGGAGAACCATGCTTGCAGACAACTGGGAAGGATATCTCCAGGCATTTCTCATCCACATAATTCTCCTTTTCTCTGTAGCCATGGGAGTCATTTTTCATGACCTTAGAATCAGAAATAACTGCTTTCCCAAGCTGCTCCTTCAGTTCTTATCTGTGTGTGTGTGCATGCGTGTGCACGTGCGCGTGGGCACACACTTGTGCCTGGGCATGCACACATGTCAGTCCTAGGGCTTAAACTTAGGACTCAAGTGCACTATTCCACTTCTGGCTTTTTTTGTGATTAATTAGAGACAAGAGTCTCACAGACTTTCCTGCCCCGACTGGCTTTAAACCATGTTCTTTAGAGCTCAGCTTCCTAAGTAGCTAGGATTTACAGGTGTGAGTCGTTGGTGCCCAACTCCCTTGTCTCCTTTTTTTTTTTTTTTTGGTTAATATCATAACAATTAATGGAACGATTTTTCTCTTTGCTTTGTTCACCAGTGATCTCAGAGGTCCATCTCCATAGCAACTATATATAATGTGGGACAGGCCTTTGGGGATTTAAACTTCTTTTTGACTGAATGACTGAATTTATATTTTTCTCCTCAGTTTTCCTTTCCTTTCAGCCTAATCTGTTCTTTCACTGACATCATGCTATCAGGTGAAATAGTTGTGTGTGTGTGAGACAGAGAGGGGGAGAGAGAGGGAGAGAGAGGGAGAGAGAGAGAGAGGGAGAGAGAGAGAGAGGGAGAGAGAGAGAGAGGGAGGGAGGGAAGGAGAGGGAGAGCTGCCTTACCTCCGTTTTGAAAATAGATTGGTCTTGAAGTAACCAACTAAATGAGCAAGTGCATTTTAATCACATGGTTTCAGGAGATGAATAGTCAACCTTCTGTTGGGAATTTTTCATCTGCTGAAGAAGGCTGGTTTGGTTAGATAGGATGGATAGAGTGTACCAATCCCTGAGGGCGTGTGTCTACATATGCTATAACATCATTACTCTACATGAGATAATTAGGTGATTGCCAATGGTTACTGAATTGTATGTGGGGGGGGGCGGGTAGGATGGAAAAGGAGCCACGAAGACTAGTCTCTCTGCAGTGAGACTTTGCAGCTCCTCCATTAAGAAGGGCATCCTTGCACTTGGATTAGTCTTGTGACTAATACTATAGCATTAGTATACAATAGTATATAATATAGCATATATTACATATGATATATACTCTATATTCTATAGTATATATATAGTATATGCATAAGTATACTATATATAATATATACCATATAATATATACTATATAGTACACACTACATATATACTATATATACATATATAGTATTTATGTATATACTATATACTATAGCTTATAGTAGTAGAAGGGTGACATGTCACTTCTTAGCCCAGGACTGAACCTGTACATTACTTCTGTCTGTCTGTCTGTCTGTCTCCTCTCTCATCAGCCTGTGAATGGTAGATGAGGGATATCCTAGAGCAGAGATGAACAGTGTGGGGGAAGGGGAGGGCAGTGGTTCAGTGCAGTCTTCCGCCAGCCAGCTCTCCCTCGGATCGCAGACACGTGCAGAGGCGTGGTAGGCACAGGAGGACCGGCCCGCAGGGCCCAGCCCAGATGGCAGCCAGGGAATCAGGAACTAACCAAACACTGTTTTTGTTTTAAGAATGCTAAATTCAGAGGTAATTTTTTATGCAGCAGAAGTTCATTGATACCCATATCTTATCCTCATCCTAACAGCCCCAAAGGAACAAATACTCATTGTTTTTCAAGCACCTTTCTATGTGTCTTAGACTTCTCAGAGCTGCCCATCGGGACCAGTGGGCTGTGTGTCCTTATTGGTATCTTGTGTCTAAGCTCAGCGAGGTTAACTGACTTTCCCAAGGCCCACCAGCTAGTAAGGGATAGAATGAGTATTTAGATTCAAGTCTGGCTCTTCTCTCCCCTGGGTGGATGGTGGGTGGGTAGGTGTGGTTGCTGTAACTCACTGTCAGAGAGAAGCAGAGTGAAGGGGGAAGCCACACTCACCTTTTCTCCGAGGAGGTGGATCGGCTCCGGGTGTAGCTGGGGGAGGCCCTGGGATCTGGCGACCTGGAAGAGTGGCTGGAGGATCGCGTGCTGGCATAGGAAGGGCTACGAGAGCACTCCTTCAGCGGGGAACTCCGGGCTGTGCTGGACTTCTTCACCTTGGCGCATTCCAGGCATGGAGACTGAAATCCCCTGCAGGAGGAGGAGCCCTGGCCATCACCCAAAGGCCACCACCCCCAAGAACATCATCATCTGGTACTCTCCTCTCCACCTTTACCCAGGGGATGGAGAGCTCCCCCCACGTCCGAAGACTTGCCAAGGGAAGGGGCCCTCAGAGGAGATGGATGACTCATAGCGTCCCCGGGTCCCAGGACCACACCACCAGCACTCCACGAGGTCAGTGGGGGCTTGACTTGAAATAACCTAAGTCACACAGGAAGGGATTTATTCTCCTTCTGGTCTCTTTTGTGAGTGCCCGCTTACATTAATGAGAAATCCATAGCCGAGTGCTCTAGTGTGTGTTTAACACCTCTGTAACACTTTGTGACCTCCCAAAGACAGGAGGAGGGAGCAGGCTTCGGATTCGGAGACTTGGGCAGGAAACTATAAAGGAGAACACAATTCAATCCACTGTTTTTTATTCAGAGGTAGTTTTATGGGGAGTCTCCTAGGTCAGATCAGTGGCCCTAATGTTTTTTCTGTTTCCGACAGTACCGTACATTTCCTTCTAGAAACAGTGAGTCTGTTACAGTGAATAGATGACGCCACAGACATAGTAAAAATCAAAAAAGGTGGCCTGTGGTTGGTTGAAGTTTGAGAATCTTTGGTGGAGTCCATTTTGTAGAAGGAAGGGTTGAATCTCTCTCCCCCCCCAAAAAAGGGGTGTTTGGAGCACTTGGTCAGAATCCCCCCGAAAGCCAAGGTCATCCTGTCTAGAGCCATATTCGATGTCTTTTGGGATCTCTGTCAAGACCTGGAATTGGGTCAAGAGTCAAGTTCAAGTTCAAGTCGTGCGGTTGCAGGGCTCACGGTGGCCAGGCCCCTGCTCACAGTCCCAATCTCAGCACGCCACTCATCTCAGCTTCAACTTTAACTCACAGGATATTCATTCCTCATTCCTCCTGGACCATCCATCCCTGCGTTCTCGGTGCTCACCAGGCCTCTGAGCACTGGAGCCTCTGCTACCTTCTCCTCTCTTCCTCACCTGGCATCTTCATGATTCTGTCTTCGTTTGAAGCTACCTTTTCTGGGAAACTCTCCTGGATTCCCCTCCACCCCACAGTGGGCTGGGGAATCTCTAGAACTTAAAGCCTACTCTCCAGGCTTTACCATCTCTAGAGGGGTCACATGATCTTCTCTTTGCCATCTCTAGAGGGGTCATATGATCTTCTCAGTGTATCTGTGTCCCCTTGTCCTGCCTGTTGAGGTACTGGGGTACAGGGCCCATGACTTTCTGGACATTATCCTCACACCTTACTTGGTCCATACTGCCTGTGTCATCAATACCTCACTATGAGCGAATGCTTTGGACCTCTTCAGCATTGTTTTATTGAGTCCTCCTGTCCGTCTGATGAAACTGGTCCTTCAAGTAGGCTCCAGTGGCAGAGATGGCCTAGAAGGGCTAGTTCCTTGCCGAGGCCAACCAGAGTCCCAAACTCTGCTCTGTCCAGCTCTAAAGCCCACGAGTCCATCCCCTCTCCAGCTCCCCTGACTTCAGTGTCTGTGACTCCCTTAGTTCAAAGCCTCAGCCCCTGCCTCACCGGCGCTCTCTGCCCATGGCTGGCGTGAGACCACAATGATTTCACCATCATCTGTTCTGCATGCTTTCATCTGACCATGCACGGAGATCAAATGAAGCAGGCAATCTCTAGATGCCTCCTGGACTTCGATTTGGTTCAGGAGACAGCTTCATCTTTGACTGCTAGTGCTAACACTGATTAACTCATTTTTTTGGGGGGGGTCCGGTTGTGGGGCCTGAACTCTGGGCCTGGGTGCTGTCCCTCAGCTCTTCAGCTCAAGGCTAGCGCTCTACAACTGAACCAAAGCACCACTTCCGGCTTTTTTTTCTTTTTGCTTATATGGTGCTGGGGAATCGAACCCAAGGCCTCATGCATTGCAAGGCAAGTGCTCTACCACTGAGCCACCTTCCCAGCCCCTATTAACTCATTTTTTTCAACCACCCTGAGCCTCAGTTTCCTCATCCATTTTTTTTTCTGTTTCAAAAAGGTTATACTTGAACCTTTTTCATAAACATCTGATGAGGAATGAAGGAAGGTTACTCAGGGGGAAGCACGTCCTACCGCACTGGGGCTCAATGAATACTAACTGCCATTATTATTATTATTAATTTTTATTTTTGTGTGCGAACCAGTACTGGGGCTTGAACTCAAGTCCTCCCTCTCTCACTTGGCTTGTTTGTTCAAGGCTGGCACTCTATCACTTGAGCCACATCTCCACTCCCAGCATTTTTGCTGGTGAATTGGAGATCAGAGTCTCACACACTTCTCTGCGAGGGCTAGCTTTGAACCATGATCCTTCAGCTCTCAGCCTCCTGAGAAGCTAGGATGACAAGCATGAGCCATCAGAACCCAGCTAGACATTCTCCCCCCCCCATTTGTCATTGTAATTATTGCTTTTCTCTGCTTTCCCTGTTTATCAGTACTTGGGCCTATCTGCAGACACGCATTCTCCCTCTCCCATCTGGGAACTTCCTTGCTTGTTTGTGGGCATGGTGACATTGATTCTGAACTAGTTCTGGCTCCCTAGCCACGCTTGGGTGTAAGCTGAGACCATGGGATGCCCTGAAGTGGAAAAACCAGGACTACAGATGGCTGCTGGCATGATTGTTCAAGACTGAAGCGGGCTATGCACTGGGGACAACTGTCGCTCTGTCCTTGCTACAATCATTCACTGTTTCAGTTGCTAAGGCACGGGACATTGAAAATCTTGGCCTCTTTGAACAAAGACAGACTCCTATCTCTAGCGAGAAGAAAACCTCCCTGCTTGCAGGCAGAGTGCACCAGTCAAACTCCACCCCCCCCCAACACACATCCATACATGGGTCTCACCAATGGGAAACCCCAGAGGAAAGCACCCACACTTGAGGGCTTCAGCAACAAGCTGCTGTTTGTGGTAGCAAGCCAAGGACTAAGTAACTGAACAAACCGGGCCGACCAGGCCCTCTGTATGTGTCAGTGGCTCTTCTTACAGTTTCCTCTCTGATTATTGTTTTGCTGTGACTTTATTGGGGGGAGGGAAGACAAGATGGTAGGAAAGCATGAAACAGCAGAATTGGGACTGGAGTCAACACAACAGGGGTGGAAGTATATTCTACAGAAAACTGCATCTTAACTAGGTGTATCGAGATGAAATAAAATACCTCTTCCTAAAAATTGTACCAGTAGGTAGCTGTCTATCTGTATAGGTGAATGAATGAGGCTTTATTTAGAGTAGTGTCATTCTATAGAAGAATAGAGTGATAAGTGCATAGGGAATTCCCATACCCCCTCCCCCCACCCACCTAGGGGTTGAGATGGAAGAATTTATGTCAACCCACAGAGTCCTTAGTTTACATTGGTGTTACAGCTCCTAGGGCCTAGAGTAATGTACTCTGATGGATTTCCATCATGGTTGCTGCATTCAGAATAATTTCAGGGCCTTAAAGACCCCCTATGGCCCACATCCTCATCCCTGACAAACACTGATTTTTTTTCTCCCCTCTCTTCATATAGTTTTCTTTTTCCCCAGCATGGCATCGAGTTAAGACTGGCATCTTTCACCCTAGTAATATTCCCATGGCTTGCTAGGTCTTTCTTTTACTAATGAATCTTATTCCATTGTCTGAATGGATCATAGTTGTTCTTGTTTTGTTTTGTTTGTTTTTACTCAGTTACCCACTGAAGGGATAGGTTGGCTGCTTCTAAGCTTTTGCCGATGACAATCTAACCCGCTACGAACATCCATGTGCAGGTGTTGGTATGGATACATTTTCAGTTGATGTGGGTAAATATTGTAGTGGATGATGATGATGATGATGATGATGATTTTAATGAGAGTGACTTCAAATGCAGTTAATGTGAGACTTTCTCTCAAGATGACAGGTAGAGCCGATAGCTGCTTTTACCTGCTAGGCCTCCATTCTTTCTGCTGCAGAGGAATCTGGCAAGGCTGTCTTTTATTAGTCTCAGTGGGGTCCTATGACACATTCTAGTGGGAGGTTTGCTGCATCCCCTGGGCCTCCGTGATTGGTGCAGGAGTGAGTAAATAATCCAAACTGGTCCAAGCAGCGTCCGCAAACACCTGCCCTGGGCGTTTGGGGCTGCCATATTTTGGGGAAAGAGGTAATTCTTCTTCTACTGACTGGCCAAACAGATAGAATATTTTCTGATAGTTTGTTCCCTGATGCTCTGGGAGGGTCTGCTGGAGAAGGGGGACCCTCCGAGGGGGGAAGAACACAGCTGACAGATAGAATAGGAGAGATTAATGACTAAGGATATATTTTTGAGACCCTGGATCCAGCTAGACCTGAAGCTACAACTCTAGGATTTAAAAAAAAAAAAAAGGAAATCAGTGTGTCTTTTCTGAGACTGCGAAGGTGATATTCAAGCAGGATTCCCCCCTCCCTGCTCCCCACAGCCCCTGTACACTAACCTTGATTCTCTGCCCCTGCTGGTGGGAGAGAGATTCTCCAAAACGGCTCCCTTGTTCTGGGGTGAAGAGGTGGTGAAGGAGTTCCCTGAATCAGAGGTGTTGCCACTGTTGAGATCTCCCCTCTTGCTCAAGCCCCCGTGGGGGCTCCCTTTCTCCTGGCCCCGAGACCTGGCGGAGCTGGCCTGGGTGGAGGGTGGCGAGGAGGTATCATTGCCTGAGTCATATTCCTGGGAGCGTCCTCGGGACGTGGCAAGCCGGCCTGTCGCCTTGCTAAAGGGGTCCGCGGCAGACTCAGACCCAGTGATCTGAAAGCAGAAAGATCCATTGGACAACTGCTGAGCCCTGGGCCGGCTGTGTTTAAATAACCAAGAATGTTAGCCATCATGAGGCACTGGAATGATAGCAGAGAAAAAGAGAGAGAGAGAGAGAAAGAGAGAGAGAGAGGAGAAGAAAGAGACGCCAAATTAAAAAAAACAAAAACAAAAAACAAGAGCACAAATTCCTGAAAGAATACCACAGAAATAGGAGATAGAGAGATAGATAATTTTTTTAAACCCCCTAATAGGATAATTGGAAGATAAAATAAAAGTCTATCATGCAGAGAGAGAGAGAGAAAAAAAAGCATGCGGTCCAGATGAAACCAAAGTAAAGAGAAATTATACAAAATTTAATTCCTAATGAATTAACTCAAACAAAAGAGACAACTTAATAAAACGGGAGGGTGTGTGTGTAAACACCCTTAACCTAAAACAATAACTTTAAAAATAAAGGAAGGGGTAGAGGGAAAAGAAATACAGTCTATGGGCCTCAACAAATATACCTTGGAAATTAAGGAAAAAAAACCAAAGACAAAAAAAAATAGGAGATAAAACTAAAATCTTGAACTTCAGCCAAATCCTCAATGAATGTAACATTTCTTTTTTGGTGTACTTATTTTTTTTTTAAGCCAAAGTTGCCGGAATAGAATCCTGAACAAATGTCACATGGGGAAAAGCAATGTAATAAAGAAGAGAGCTTTGTTTTTTGCTTTTTGCTGTCTTTTTTTTTTTAAATATATAAAGTCAAGGTCACAAACTGACATTTGAGCAGTTTTCAACTAAAGGGGAAAAGAAAGGAACTGGGGAAGGGGGCCAAAATAAATGTAAGTCAAATAGTTTGACTGAAAGCAAACAAACAAACAAACAACAAAAAAAAGGTCTCTACAGGTATTTGTGTGTGTCTTTTTCCCCTTTGCAGATCTTGAGTGGCTGCTAATAAATTCTCTCGTGTCTTTGCGGATTATATCCACTTACCAAGCAAGAACTCCTCCTTTAGTAGGTAAGGTGTAAGAGAAAGGGAAGAGCGGGTAACGTGAGTCCATTATCAGAGTCTCAATGACAAGTAAAAACACACACCTTCCTGCACAACCTCACACTCAGCCCTCAACTTGGACTAGTGGTGCTCTCTGGACCTGGGGGTGGGGGTGGGCGGGGCATCCATTCTGTCTGTTTTTCTCATTCAAGGGAGTCTAACCGAGTTAACCTAGTCTGTCTCTTTAGGCCTGGGTTGGTTCAAGACACTCCCCCCACCCCACCTTGCTGTCCGTGAAAACAAGAGGGGTGTGTGTGCTGACAACTGGACAGGGGTGTTGGTGGGGTCTTGGAAAATGTAGCTGGGGAGGGGGGACAGGAAGTCATGGGGATCTGCCTGAGGCTGGTCTAGAACAGGTGCCGTAAAGGTGGCGATAGAGAAGAGCCCTTGTGAAGCCAGTCACCACGGGAGATTACAAGGGGTGGATTTCCTCACACATCAAACCAGGATCCTGGCTGAGAGGACACAGGTCTGGCTCCCAACAATACCATGCTCAATAGTATAAGCAAGAGAGATTTCCCCGCCCCCTCCTCTCCCCTTTTCCCCCCTGCACTGTGGGCCTTTTCTAGGACTAGCTGGCCATCTTCATGGGGAGAGAAAATCTGTAGGGCCAAGAGGGGCAAACCCTCTGGAAGCCCTGTACCCCAGACCACTCTGCGTCTCTGCCATCCCAGAAGTCTCTGTTCATGTAGACTCTGGACACCCACCCATCTCATGTTTTCTGTGGGTAGACCATAGGTCAAGTGGGTGTGAGATAGAACTTAGATGATTGGGCTGAGGTGGTCGTGTGTGTGTGTGTGTGTGTGTGTGTGTGTGTGTGTGTGTGTCCCATCATTATGGTACCACAGGTCAGAAGCAAACACAAGGACCTCAAACTCCGGGGCACATCCTCCCCTCCTGGTTTTTACATTGAGCACCCAAGACGCTCGGTCGAGGTCTGATGTTCAGATCGCTTTGATGGTAGGTTTGCCAAGCTAGGAAGGCCATATCTTATTTGGGTTGGCTGACTTGATGCGCAAGCATGTAGACAATTAGGATCCTATAGGCCATCTTCGATAGTCTATCCCAGTCTATTCTCCATCAAGAGCCTGCTTCCCATTCCTACTTTATCTCATGCTCTTTGATCCTAGAAGAAAGGGACTCCGGGGCTGTTTTAAGCAACCATTTCCATCATGGGGATGCTGAAACTGTGAGAGTAAAAGGAATAAAAACTAACTGCTTAGGGTGTCAGCTCCTGAGACCAAGGGGCGGGACTTCCTTTATGGATTCTCCCAGGAGGCTTTGCACACAGGTGATAGCCCCAACATTACCCAATTCTACCTGCCATGGGTAGGCAGAACATTGCCTTGTTGGCCATCTGGTTAGCTTTAACTTTGGAGGTAGGAACTCCGCTTAAAGTTACCCTTGTGGAGTTTTCTAGAGTAAGACTTTTTTTTAAAATCACCATACAGACTCATTTCCCATTTTGGCATTTCTTATTTGTCTTCTGGTGTGCATTTTGGATGGCATGTCTTTCCTGCCTGGGGAGTTCAGAGGTAATGTGTGTTTCCTTCCCCACCATCTCTGTCAGAAAGAGATCATTTGGGCCAGCAAGCTTGACCCTAGGACCTGAGCTCTAGGCTAGGGGGCATAGTTATCGAGGGTAGACTCAAGAGATACTTGACCCATTCATATTTGGTGGCCAGGATATTGTGAGTAAACCAGGCAAGCCCACCTTGTGGGGAATGAGGTTGGCAGATAGTTAGAAGGCAAGGTCATCAAGCGCAATGGTTTTCGGTGTCTCCTGGCTTGCTATCTGGGGGCATCCAGCTTTGCTCTTTCTCTCCCAGGTTCTCATTACCATCATGACTACAATTTCAAAGCATTTCCCTGTTGTATCCGGAGTCCCTATTTTTTGGATTGGTCATGGGCCTTGAACTCAGGACCTGGGTGCCGTCCCTGACTGAGCTCTTTCACTCAAGGCTAGGGTTCTACCTCTCTGAACCACAGCTTCACTCTCAGTTTTCTGGAATTTTGTTGGAGATAAAAGTCTCCTGGACTTTCCTGCTCCAGCTGGCTTTGAACAGCAATCCTCAGATCTCAGCCTCCTGAGTAGCTAGGATTACAGGCGTGAGCCACTGGTGCATGAGTAGGCAAAGATTTTTTGAGTGTGAGGTATTCAGTGCAGGTATGCAGAAGGACTTTGCCCTATTCATGTTTTTTATCCCACGCACTGAACTTGGGGGACACAGAGTATTTTCACAGAGAGACCTGGCTGTGACTTCACCACATTTAACTTGAGTGTGTGGAACTGAGAATTCAACATGGAGGTGTGTTGTCTCCAGAAAACAGATAAATAAGATACTAACAGGGAAATATTAAGCACTCCTGCTTGGTTAAAAGTCCCTGTTCTTTAGATGAAGCTAAGCTTTTTGACATGGCCTACAAAATCCACTGCAACCTTGCCCTGCCTACTTCCTATTACTGCCTTGCACAAAGCTCTCAGAGCTCATCTTTTCTGCACACACCCACATCGGCTCTCAGAACCCACGTGGACTCCTTGGCTTTCCAACCCCAGGCCATATGCACATCCTACTTTCCTTTCTATGCAATACTCTGCCCCTCTCCCCCACTCTACACACCCACATATTTCATTCATTTGCTCACTCATTCATTCAATATTTCAACCATTCATTCATTAAAAAAAAAAAACTGTCCTGGTACTCAGTGTTGCATTTACATCTTTTGTTTCCCACATCTCCATCTGGGTGAGGGGTTTGTGGTGGGCAGCGTCCATGCATAGTCCAGTGGTATATCCCGGGACCCACTAGTGCCTGGTGAGTGATAATGGGTCTTGAGGTCAGCTCAGGTCTGGGTGTGGGGGTCATAATGACCCCAGAGGATTAAGGTTTAGGTCCGACTCACAGCAGAGATCAAGAGTCCTTTTTCTCCGCACTTTCTTTGCACCTGAAGTCTCTTGGCCATCACCTGCCTCTGGCCCCTCCCGGTGCTTCGGCTTCTCTTCATGGGGGACGCAGGGAGAACTCACTAGACCCAGTTTACCAAGAGGAAGTGCACAGACCTTCTGCCTGCAGGTTCCTTCTCAATGGCCGACATGCAGGCTTCAGTGGGAAGTTGGGGACCCACAGGGCCTTCCAAGGGGACCCATGCTTTGCTTTCTTTCCCTAGCTCTGCCCCTAGCAGGCACAGGACCACTGGCCTGGGCACAGTGGCTCATGCTGATGATAAAATGGTGCTCCTTTGGGATAAGGGGTTAGACAAAGGCACTTTGGCCGGACAAGTTAGAAAAGACATGGGCTGGCGCGGCCACAGGTCAGTGTTCGGAATGTGATAGGTGGAGGCAGGCGGGTGTGGAGGGGGTGCCTCACCTCCCACTTGCTTTGTCCAGGGTACAGCCTGAGGGGGCACTAATCAGGCACCCCTCTGATCTCCTTAGGGGAGGCTTCAGCAGGGAGGAAGTGTTCCCCGGAGTCACGCATCCCTTCTTCTCTCAGTAGGACCCAGTCTGATGGGCTGGGTTGACACTTCCGGGTGGGGAGGGGGAAGGCGTTGTAGTAAAATGGCTGGATCATTCAACTGCCTCCTTACTTCAGAGTCTACCTTCTCCAGGGCTCTCCCTTCCTTCCACACGAAGAGGAAGGAAGGCCCATGACGGGGACCGGCGGCAGAGTCAGCACGTGCCTGGGATGGGACCAGGATGATGCAAAGGAGACTTCGAGCGGTGACTGTGGTCAGGGGTGGACAATGGAGGTGCCCATGCTCTAGCTCCTGCACTGAGTGCTGCTACCAAGACGGGACATCTCCTCCCTGCGCCTTTCGCCCACACCACATAGACAACAGGCCTGGCAAAATACATCTCTGATGAGCTCTTCATCCTATTGGAGGATCTCTGTACATGCAGTGACTCTCTGATCAGGAACAACTGGCTGGAAAATGGCCTCTAAGACCTTCACCA